ATACTTGAAACCGGTCCGATCCGATTGAACTCTTAAAATCGATTGACTCTCATTGGTTTTTTGAACACTGAAACTGCTCAACTTTGTTTTTTTTTAACGATTTCCATGGTTTAACGATGAAAAAGTTTGAGTCTGGAGGTTTTCAATTGACAAATTTCTAGTCGATGTGAAGGTCTCAGCTCTAAATATTGAGTTAACACTTTCTCATCATATGATAAGAGCCTTAGATCATGCCAAATCAGTTTATTATACTTAAAAATAGGAATCCTAATAGAAAGCATGCAGGCTGCATACACAAGTTCTATTTTGGTAGGTTTCTCCTAGCAGAATAGGGCTTGCTACTGTAGAATGCATTCGGAATCCTGTTCAAGAGTGACTGCGCGAGTGTAAAGTGGTTTTTTAAAAACCTGAAATTAAATATTCTTATTTAGTGATATTACTTTGTACAACTTCAAGGTTACTGCAGATACGCATATGCACCCATCAATCTTGCTATTCTTTCTATCTATTCACACCAAAACTCGAGAGAAAACTGGGAACCTTTTATTTCATAAATCACAAAGCAGAAAAATGCGTAGTCTCGAGCAAATCTACCATTTTGAGAATGCGAGCAATACTCGTCTATTAAACATGTTGAATGAGGGTTTTGCTCTTGAAACATGCGACTAGGAAGTATGTATTCTACTTTGTCATTGAAGTCGTTTTTTTCTTCACGTTGTCTCTGCTCTAGATTAATTTAGTTGTCATGGATAATAAGGACTTTTCGAACGTACCCCGACCTCTCGAAGAACGTGCTTCTGACGAATTAATGCAGAACACCAAACCAATCGTGCATACAACAAAGCAAAGAAATGGTTCTATTGTTAATGACAATAGGAAAAGATCAAGCGAAATTTCGACACCCGTGTATGCATCTTTTCTTTCGATTTCAATCATAGTTCGTTTTTATCTTCGTTAGGGTACACTTGTATGAAGCAACATCAAAGCGTCGTATACTGCTGGTTGAGTTTATTTTATTTACGATCATATTGATCATTATCGGTATTCTCACGGTTTGCTTTACTTCACCAAAACCAAAAAGTATTTATGCACAGAATTCTTTTTTTATTCGACTTTTATCAAAGTAGAATAACGACCGATTGCTTAGAAAATGTACATTGGGGTTGAAAACTAAAAACAATTAAAAAAATTTTCATACTTGTAAGTTCTTATTAAAGGGGCAAGTGAGAGTAATGAATATAAATATGCGAATATTCACTCTCATCTGCAATAACAATCAACACGTTCACACACCCTCATCCTGATCGATACTCGCCAATACATTCACCCACAATTACTCTACGCATCTCAAAAATTTTTCCACAAAGCCTTTCGCTGGATAGCATATCAGACGCATGAAAAAACTTGTTCTCAATTAGTACCAACACAATGAAATGAGTTAGACTAAAGTTGAGGTTCACTCTATTTGAAGCATAAGAAGCTATATGACTTGTAGAGTTTAACACTGCTTGCATGACACTGATAATGTTTTCTGTTGTTGAATCAGAACTTTTTCACACATGTATCTAACCGACTTTTTCACTATTGGAGTTCAGAGTCGAATTGGCTGATTGTTTTTTACTGACTATTCAGAATATTCAACTGCTTTGCCCGAACAACGATGTTTGGCTCAATCAGTTCCAGTTCTGGCATACCATGGGTTGAAAGAAAACTTTTTTACATTTTTCTGATTATCCTACTCATTTACCATGATTTTTTTGGAAAGTGATACGATGTCCTGGTGCCCGTGAGTGTGGAAGGTGGCAGTAACACTCTTTGAGTGATGAATGGACATCCTTATTCACACTCTCGACATGTTCTTTCTTTTATTTGTGATTATTTTTATATTATCGAGGAATTCATCATCAGTTGAATGTGAAGAGGTGCGCTGTATATCACTAATAATCCTGTCCAATTAGAGCTCTTTTGCTAATTTATTTGATGATCGACTTTTCTTAGAACAAATTAAATTATTGTATTTTCGTTTCGATATGCAGAAGTATTGGGAGTTGTGAAAATTATATAATCAAAAAGAAGCAATAAAAAATGTAGGATTGAATATATTAAAGCTCAATATTGCAATAGGGAAAATAAAGTCTAACTTTGGTGCGACGGAAAATTAACTACATGTTTTAATCACCTTGCTGATGAATAAAAGATGCTGACTGGAAACAATCGATTGAAATATAAGATTCTATTGCTATTCTCTGCTAACAGTCAAGCACTTATATATGTATGGTGATGACAGAGAACTCTTTGTGCTTAAGTTTTGTTGTGTTATTGTCCAACCCAAAAACTGCAGGATGGATAGTTTATGTATATTCTAATAGAATAATAGATGACTTCGGTTGAAATGTAATATTTCGGTCATTTAAGGCCGCCCCCCCCCCGCCCCACCCCCCCCCCCCCCCCCCCCCCCCCCCCGCCCCACCGCCCCCCCCTCAGCACCGCGCCACC